CCGAAGTGATTTCGATTTGGATCTGACGAAAAATTCAATAATGACAGACAAATGAACTTACTGGATTAATAAGATTCGATAAAAAATAGAAAATACGTTAGTCAAATATTTTATAAAGATATGCTTTAATGCATTTTTAATAAACTAACACGGTCTGATTTCTTATAAATAAAGAATCCTACAGAGATTTGTAACGAAGAGAATGTTCTCAAATAAACAGAGCGAAGATTCCATGTTGAACAATATTGTAATTCAATACATTATTTTGTTTCATTTCGACGATTTATTTCGTTTTATTTTATTTTTTTTTGACGGGCGTAAGTGAGGGAAAGAGAAATATGAATCATCAAACGTATAGTTTTTTACCCATTTTTGAATGATTTGATTCTAATAAGAAAAATAGTGTTTCATATCGAAATATATTGTCGTTTAACTGTTTTCTCGAAGTATTTCACTTTGTTTTGATAATCAACACGATTTTTTTCATTATATTTCGTTCTGAATAATGCCCACTATTTGGTGTGCTAAATATGACGAGCATGTGGGTAAATCAAAAGTCGGACAAAAGCCGACCTTTCCGAAAGGAAAACGACGAATTAATCACGAATTAGCAATGTTTTTGACTAATCAAAATGGAAAGTATTTCCAGGAAGATGATTTTTTATGTACAAGATGTTTTGAAACTGTGAAGCAAAATTTGGCTATGAATTTGCCTCTTATTACTTCATCTGCTATGGATATTGATGATCGAAAATCTGAGCGAGCCGCAGCTACTACAGCACTGCTCAACATTTCCGCTTTGACAAACATCGAAATGTCATTCTCAGATTGTGAAGATGTAGCACCAGATAATTGTGAAGAAGAAATAATGGCTTTGGAATTGCAACTAAGTCGACAGAAATCTCTTGAACTTTTGAATAACATCTTGTCACTTGTAGGATTATCATCTATCAGAGACATACGAAATAAAATAATTGTTAGTAAACAAGTTGATCTCGCATTAAGCATTATTCGTCAAACTGCTGAGCAAATATGTGACAGTACTAATCAAGATATTATAACCGATGAATCAGATATTACTATTAATGAGGCGAAGCAAATCGTTAACAATTTTAAGTTACTTGTTGAGACAAGTGATTTTAATGAACAAATAAGATTACTTACGTTAGTTCCATCGACATGGGGTAGAACCAAAATTACGAATTTTTTTCATTGTTCACAACACCAGGCACATTACAGCATATATTTAAGAGATGCGGATCAAATTTTATCGTTGCCCGTAGATTTACGTGGTAACATACCATTTAATCCAGATGTTGAAAAAGAAATATTCGACTTCTATCATCGTGATGACATTAGCAGGGTATGCTATTTAAAGAAATTAATTTTTCAATAAAAAAAAAACGTTTGTCTTCTAAAACGATATCGTGCAATAATAATGACATATTGAACTTTTGTCAGGATTACACGGTTCGTTTTCAAATAGAAATCTGAAAGCTGTCAATGTATGGAAGTTGGGAATAAATTTTAAATATTTTGTTTTTCACTGTTCAGTGTCGGACAAACTATAAACCTATTTTATTTATTAGTGAAGGTGTATTTCTATTACGTAACGTCTTTTCTACTAGCAGAATTGTAAAATCTCGAAAAATGCGGTTGTTTAACGGAAAATGAACGAGTAAAAATTGATGTAAGTAAAAATTTTGCTCAAAAGGCAAACGATTTTCATAAAATTAAAGCTAAGATAATTGAATATATGAAAAAGACAACTTTTTTTATCAATTGCAGGCTTCACCAAATAAAAAGGATGTTTTAAAAAATCATAATAACCCAAAACTTATTCGTTATATGTTGATGAGTACTATGGAAGCTTATCAGCAATTTGTACAAGAAGATGCACTTATGAAAGTGGCAAATCTAAATTTGCTTCACTAAAAGCGAAGTGGATTAAGACATCAACTCTACATGAAGTATTTTTTTTTCGATAAATGTAGTCAGATTTGGAATTTTTCTTTATATAGATTTGTACTTGTCAGTATCATCAGAATCCTGCTCTCCTATTAGATGCGTTCAACAAAATGAATTCATCCAAATTAGAATTAACTGCCTTAATAAACATAGTGCTTTGTAAAACAGAAACAAGTGCCTGCTATTTGCAAGAATGTTCAGCTTGTAGTATCATTTTACCATCAACTTTTTTATTTGAACAATTTAAAGCTAATAGTATAAACGAAGATAGTGATATAACATGGATGACGTGGGAAAGAAATGAAAAAAGGACCGAACTGCAACGTCATACAACCTCAATAGCAGCATTTTTAGAAAAGTTAGATGCTCTCTGGAGCAAATTTTTAGCTCATCATTTTTACACAATTGAACAACGTGAATATATTAAGAAAATTAAAAATGAATATTCTGAAAAGGGTACTGCAATAATTCAATTAGATTTTGCACAAAACTTCACTCTAGTATCTCAATCATCAGTTCAATCTTCCTATTGGAGTCAAAAACAAGCAACTCTCTTCACAGTACATATTAAAATGGGGTCAGGACATCGCAACCTCGTTTTTATTAGCGACTATATGCATCACACAACTGAATTCGTATATGAAGCTCAAAAGCATATAATAGAATTTTAAAAAAAATGGTATCCTAATATAAAACACGTGTAAGTGGGAATGAAAAAACTTTTGCCTTACCCAATTCCATTGATATCCGAATAGGTAATGTTAACAATTAAGATACTTAGAAAAGCCTAGTATTAGTTAACGTCTATAGTGGATCGAAGAAAGATTTTCAATAGAGTTAAAATATTGTAAAATAACCGAAGGGTAAGATAAAGAAAATTATATACTTGCTGATTTTCTTTTCCATCCATTCACCAACAATGTTTCGATTTGAAACTTTAAATTGCTTTCGATATTATACTTTAATTTGTTTCAAACTTTAACATTAACAGTCTTGGCTCTCATTGCACTTGATGGATATTTTCTCTCTTCTGAATTTATGAAAAAGTTTATCATGCAAATGAAAAGTTCTACGCAAAGAGATTTAGTTGGAGAAGAATTTTTCATCCACTATATAGTATAGTTCAAAACAATTTTACCTCTTATAACAGTTTACGTTAACTTGTGTTTTTGCTTTCAAATCTATGCTTTAATTTTGAATGAATAGCAGCATGTCAGGGCTAAGGATAAACTAAGTCATATCGAAAACACCAATATCGTCGAAAAATCTAATCTTATTAAAAAAATCGGTAATTTTATCATAGATGAAAGAATCTGAACAAGAAAATTAGGCAGAAAGTCATTAACTGTTACAATTTCTTTAATAATATATGTATTCAATCATACGTGTTTAGAAATTCTGTCAGTGATGGAGCTAGTGCTCACTTCAAAAACTCAAAGAATATGCTCAATTTAACCTACCACGAAAGTGACTTTGGTCTTAAAGCATCTTGGACATTTTCATCAACATCACATGGAAAAGGGCTCGTCGATGGCATTGGGGCAGCAGTGAAATCACGGGCTACACGTTATCTATTAAGCGGTACAACACACAACGCATTTCTTTCATCAGAAGAATTTTTTGAATACACCAAAACAGCAAATGATCACTTCGTAATGAAAGGCGATCTTGAACCTAATCGACCAATCGAAACATTTTATATAAAAGCTATAGATATTCAAAATGTTTTGAAACGAACATTAGAGCGACGTTGGCTAGAGATAAACAAGAAGTCTTAGATAGAAGGACTCCAAAATAAACATCAATTTGATTCTGTACGTATTGGTAAAATTATATGTCGTCAAACGTCCAGTTCTCAAACTTACAACATTTTTGATTTATATCGTCAGCACTCACCCAACTAAAGTTTTTTTTATTCATTATGAACTTACTGATAATTATTATGTTTGAAATTCCAAACCAAAAAAAGATAAACGAATCAATAGATAAATAGCTATTCACTTTCATATATTCCTAACCCATGAGAGGCATATTCATCTACTGGGAAAATTTATCAACACGCAGGTTCAATCGAATACTAACTGATAAATTGGCCCACTATTGTTACTTTAAAAAATCAAACTAATGTTTCATACAAAATTGTTAATCAATACAGTCGCGATATTCTACAGTTCTAGAAACAATGACAACATTACACTATCGAAGTTTTCCAACTAATTCAATATAGTCTATTATGACCCTAAAACATACCGTTAAACGCAGTAGGATTTTCAAGCTGGCTTAAAATAATTTTTTATTTCCATCATATTCATCAATCAGAAAATATGCCAAAAGCATCTGCATTCATTATCTTAGTTATTAGTATGCTTCCTTCCAAACACCTTTCCATCTTAAGACTAATTTTTCCCATAAAGATCTGCAAGATTCTTTATTTATAAGAAATCAGACCGTGTTAGTTTATTAAAAATGCATTAAAGCATATCTTTATAAAATATTTGACTGACGTATTCTCTATTTTTTATCGATTCTTATTAATCCAGTAAGTTCATTTGTCTGTCATTATTGAATTTTTCGTCAGATCCAAATCGAAATCACTTCGGTCAACTGACTGAGTTTAAAATAATACTATTCGACATAGATATAATAAAAATTCGAACGTTTCTACGGATGATCTTAGTGATTTAAAACATTGAATAACAAGCTGACTTGATGTTGTTAAGCAATTTGGGCATTTTAGTAGCGTATCATGTATATTGGTTGGCTAAGACTCTGTTAAAAACAGTGTTTAGTGTAGAGTAAAACGAATTCTACAACATAATCAAAGAAAAAATATCGTTGAGATAATAAAATATTGAGATAAAAGCATTCTTATATGTGGTCATATGTGGCCATTGTTCAATATCAAGGTATTTTTTTGCATAATACATTTGAATCATGAAAAGAAATCGTATTCCATAGACTCGAATGCCTTTAAAAAATGTTTGTAATCTTTGTTATTACTATTTGAACATCTTTTAAACGGACAAAATTAATAAAGTTTATGAATAATAAGGTATTTTCTTAAAAAATATTAAGAGAAAGATGTTTCATAACTTTGCGTTTATTGTTCCACTAAATCGAACACGGGAAACATTTTGTCTCAGTAGGATTGTAGAGCAAGAAATTCTGTACAAAACTGTAAGTCAGGCTATCTATGGAAATTTCGATTAGTCTACAATTTATAGTGTTAAAGGAGGACACCCTATTATATAGGGGTGTGTGTAATAAATGAACAACTCATAGGAGAGACTTACTTTGAAGACTATGATATGCTGAATTCAAAACGTAGCCGAGACATATAGCTATCGATTGATATATAACATGTTGGTCTAGTTTGTAGCTTTTTCTATGGTGATGTAGGATTCTTTATATTTGAAAAGTCTTGAAATTTTTCAAGAATTCAAAAAATCCAAAATATCTCTTGTCCTATATGCTTATGTTTACTGAGGAAATTTGAAAAAGTAAATAGACACAAAGTCTTAGATTAACATGCTCTACAAACTCTGAAAATATGACGCGATTTGGAGATACTTGTGGATGCTATGGTAGAGATCCCATGGAAATACCTAACTTTATGAAAATCCTATTGTTAGAGGCATATTAAAAACTAATAATCTAACTATTTAATGAATTTATTGAGCGCAAAATGCAATAGAAATGTTCTGGTGACGATGATTAATCATCGCGACTCGCAAGTAGCATCAGTACACCCAATATTCTCTAGGTAATACCGGTGCACTCTATCATTAGCAATAAGACTTTTATAAAAGGGTCGCCATTTTAGAAATCTACGATGATGGTCATACTTTTTCTATTATTCCAACGCTCTTCTAGCAAGATAAACAGCAAACATGGGTACACATATCATTACTCTAACTTCTTCAAGCATTTAATATGTTCATGACTAACATTGTCATACCTCCGACAAGCATGTTATCAATAGACTAGTGACTGCCCCGTCAGTAACTAATGCGTTTATTGCTAATTTTGAGGCAAGCTGTTGCTTAGTGCACCGGTGCTTTGATCACGAGGGATCGATATGTCAATGACTCGAGGCAGACAGATAATAAGTCACCGGTTATAGCAAACATGATAGAGGCAATATCGCTCACACCACTGAACGCATCCACAATTTAAAAATCCGAAATTTCCTGTTAAGGTTAAATGTGTGCTGGTGTTAAGCACGATGTTTATTTCAATAATCCCCAATCCAAGGAAAAACAAACATATATATATATAGAGAGAGAGAGAAGAACGAAAATATATGGTAACGAATAGAGATCACAAGATAGATGTAAAGAGATCAAAGAAGTGGAGGAATAACACATACTATGTATATGTACGGGTGCGCCATCACCCTATGTATCCTATCACATTTTAAAGTATAGGCTGAACTGAACTGAACAATAACAAACAAAAGATGCATAGAATAGAAATGAAAATGAGAAATAACAAAAATATCGAAAACAATAACACTAGGTCACAGTGTTAAACTAATATAAGTTGAACGACGACTAGAATGATAGATGGACATAATAACAATGATAATGATAATTTAATAGCTGAACAAAAATGAGAAAAGAAGAAAATATTCTTTTAGCAATGTTCCATGGAGATATGAAACAACAAATATATAAGTGAATATCATTTGAGCGTTTATCGATCATCTTTTATTAGAGGATCTATGTAGAGATGTGCAGTTTCAGTGTAAATACTGAAATACTGACACTGCCAGCGCCGATATACTGAGCACTGAGAACTGACTACACTGCACTGACAACACTGTCGCTCGGTCTAAACTGACACCGAAAACACTGATGCACTGCTACTCACTGAGCCACAGGCCTTCACTGACCACTGACTAC